AAGCTGACATGCTAGGTTAGAACTGAAATACTGTTCAAAGCGGTGTTAAACTCCACTCACTCACTCTCGCTGGTAATAAAATATTGTCAAGACATCACTGGTGATACACACTCATGTCATAGGGAGTCATGTAGCTTCTTTTCTTCATCTTCAAGCATGGTTATTTTGTGTTTGACAGCATCACTGAGGGAGAAAACAGTGTGCTGGCCACTGGCCATGTTACAGATACAGTGTGCTGGCATGTTACAGATACAGTGTGCTGGCCACTGGCCATGTTACAGATACAGTGTGTGGGCATGTTACAGATACAGTGTGCTGGCCACTGGCCATGTTACAGATACAGTGTGTGGGCATGTTACAGATACAGTGTGTGGGCATGTTACAGATACAGTGTGCTGGCCACTGGCATGTTACAGATACAGTGTGCTGGCCACTGGCCATGTTACAGATACAGTGTGCTGGCATGTTACAGATACAGTGTGCTGGCCACTGGCCATGTTACAGATACAGTGTGTGGGCATGTTACAGATACAGTGTGCTGGCCACTGGCATGTTACAGATACAGTGTGCTGGCCACTGGCCATGTTACAGATACAGTGTGCGGGCATGTTACAGATACAGTGTGCTGGCCACTGGCCATGTTACAGATACAGTGTGTGGGCATGTTACAGATACAGTGTGCTGGCCACTGGCCATGTTACAGATACAGTGTGTGGGCATGTTACAGATACAGTGTGCGGGCATGTTACAGATACAGTGTGGGCAGCATGTTACAGATACAGTGTGCGGGCATGTTACAGATACAGTGTGCGGGCATGTTACAGATACAGTGTGTGGGCATGTTACAGATACAGTGTGTGGGCATGTTACAGATACAGTGTGTGGGCATGTTACAGATACAGTGTGTGGGCATGTTACAGATACAGTGTGTGGGCATGTTACAGATACAGTGGGCAGCATGTTATAGATACAGTGTGTGGGCATGTTATAGATACAGTGTGTGGGCATGTTACAGATACAGTGTGTGGGCATGTTACAGATACAGTGTGCGGGCATGTTACAGATACAGTGTGTGGGCAGCATGTTATAGATACAGTGTGCTGGCATGTTACAGATACAGTGTGCGGGCATGTTACAGATACAGTGTGTGGGCAGCATGTTATAGATACAGTGTGCTGGCATGTTACAGATACAGTGTGCGGGCATGTTACAGATACAGTGTGTGGGCATGTTATAGAAGCCCACATGCGGAACAGTAACGGAATGAGAAAAATGGGAAAATCACTGCAACTGTGAAATGGAAAAGTTAGTAAACCTGACATTGAGATGGCTTAGATGGAGTCACATGGACAATTTTCAGAATCTGCAAAATATAAACCTTGTTGTGAGCAGCTTTGAAATAAAATAACACAAGAGGGATGACAAACTTGCTGAAATACCTCTGTTTAATTGAAACGTTAACAAACCAGTGAGACACATTGTAGATGTTACTTAGAAGCAGAAGGTGCAGAAACAGTACAATTGAATAGTTCACTGGAGCTGGAAGTCTGAACAAGGACAGGGAAATAGAGAGTGAAAGAGAAAAGAAGAGAGGGAAAAGAGAAAAGAAGCACAAGCACTTTGAGCAGAGACATGAATGGATGCATCAAAGCAGCAGGTTGGTTTGGGGAAATGTGACAAAACTATAAAGCAAGAAATGCCAAGAAGTGGCCAGGTCGACAGTTCCCCTACTCTGTTACCACTCCACTCAACCTGCACTCAGGGGTCCTTGTGGTGTTAGCACTGAGTGAAGATCTGCAGACTTGTCTGCAGACATGGAACACATTTGTGAGCTGACAGCTGGGAATTCATGAGATAATGATGTCATCTAATGCTATTTCCTCCTGTGTTTATTCAAACAAACCGAATTATTGTCAGCGATGTTGGTGTGGCTTGTATTGAGATGATTGCATCTGGATGAGGGAGAAGTGCACGCTGTCCCTGTTGCCGGCAACATGTGGCTGTACAGCCAGACATAGCACCTGACACACAGCTGGCCGCCCAGCATCTACCATCTCCCCCCTGTCTGTGGGGCTTGTCTGTGCACCCATTGTTCCACTCATACCATCACTATGCTTGTATACAGTGGGTTTTATCATATACCAGTTCACAGGGTTGAAACATTTTATGGAGAACAATTACTTTATTATTTGCCAATAAGATTCCAGGGGCCCCTTGCACAAAGTGATCTTAGTGCTAAGATGATCGTAACTCCCGTACTTTAACATAGGCTTACGATAGTCTTAGCACTAAGATGATCGTAACTCCCATACTTTAACATAGGCTTTTGATAGTCTTAGCACTAAGATGATTGTAACTCCCATAGTTTAACATAGGCTTATGGTAGTCTTTGCGCTAAGATTGCTTTGTGCAAGTGGGCCATGGGCTTCTTACATGTTTGTTTGTTTGTTGTATAACGTAACAACCAGCAGTATTCCAGTATGATGGCGACCTGTAAATAATCAAGACCAGACAGTCCAGTGATTGATATAATGAACATTGATCCATGTTGCCATGCAATCAACCAAATCACCGAGCCTGACCACCAGATCCATTGGGTCTGAGACCAGCATAGGTTGCTGGAGATCTATTTTAACCTAGAAGCCCATGGGGCTCTTATACCCTTCAACAGGTTGGGATAAGTATTGAAGAACTGGAATGTCTTGAAGAAACTTTTTAGTAATTATGTAATAATATTGTTTGTGTGCCTCTTTCTCATCACTTCTGTTAGTGTTGAAACATAATTGTTTCAAAACAGCAATATGAATATTACATGCTTTATTTATTTATTTTTTGTTTTTTGAGCATTGAATTGGGTGGATTAAAGTGGGTTTCTTCCACTTTCACATATTAGACAATTGTCCTCTCTGAAACATTAATGCCTGTTCTTTAATGTTTTTTGTTTCTCTGATTTTGGGTTGTTGTGTTAAAAAGTTGGTTGAAATAGACATATAAACATCTATAAATTTTTGGATCATGCTAAAAACAACAACAAGATAAACAACAACACTAGTTATTTTCCTATTCATCTTACTAGAATAACTACGGTACCTATTTTCCCCATTTTGAACTTCATTACTGTAACACAATAACATTTACCTCCTCTGCTGCCTCGGCAGTGCACCGTCTATGATCAGTTTCAATATTTATTTATCCTACCTCCCTTGTCAGGAGTGTGATGAAATGGTTTCTCTCCCCAGCTGTCCTGTGATAATGATGTTACTTAATGACGTGTTGTACAATGGAGAACATGTTAGTGTAGTCCAACATGTGGGATTGTTTGCTGTTGTATCTATATATGGCAGCCTGTGTTGTGTGGGGACTGACCTACTCCACTGCACTCGCAACATTAAACATGGATCAACTTGTTGGTATAGGAGATCCTGCAGGTGACAGACGCTTATACCTGCACTGGGGAATCAAAAGGTGGACACACAGAAATAGATTTAGTCACATTCACCAACAAATTTAAATTGGGGTAAAACAATTCAATGCAAATGTAATGATTAAAATTAGCGTTTGAAATATATTTATATAATAAACAAATTATTTATTTTAGAGGGGGGTGAGGGGATGGCGTGGAGGGGTTGTATTCCTGGAATCCTTGAGGTTTAATTATTTCAATCAATATCACATTACTGACGAAGCAGGCATGTGTATAGACAGCTAGAACTGTCAGCAGGGGAATTTAAGTTTGTTATAATCGTAGTTCGTTATATGCATAGATACAGCACATAAACAGCAAATAGCCAGGGCCAAATGATCAGTTTGTTATATCTGTCAGTTCATCATAAGCGTGTTTGTTATAAACATAGTTTACTGTAGGTCCAAGTGGAGGAGTACTTGCAGACAGCATGATGGTGTATTTCAAGGAGAAAAGAAGCAGGTGATACATTATCTTGCGTTCACCTAGTTCCTTTGAACTCACAATCTTAAAATATGTTTACATACGTAGGTAAAAATGAAAGATGATCATCTCCTTGGGGTTAGTTCCCAGATGGCCGCGGTACATTATACAATGTTTTTCTTAAACCTTGGGATTATCATCTTATCACTAATCCCTTCATATTGATATATTTTTGCTCAATCCCATGTATCTTCAGAGAGTCTTTTGTGGTCAACATTTTATCATATTCTTGATACAGCTTTCTTTCTGTTGGCTATGATGTCTCTAAGGTTTGACTCGCTCACGTATGTGGGTGAATGCCCTGAATTGTCTCAATCCCCATTACGACAGGCGTTGGTGACGGCATTTGTTCACAAACAGGGGTGTATCAGGGGGATTTGCCATCTTTTGACATTGTGTTTGCAGGAAATACCCCTGCCCAAACAAATCCTTCTTGTCCATAAGAGGAAATTCTTTGCCTCGCCACATCAGACTCAGATGCCGGCATCTATGTAGATTTCATGAACATTGCATTGTATGTACAGTTACACACAGACACATATTAGAACCACATTGCCTAGGTGTAACAATGTCATTGTGCCTTTCTTGTCTCGAGAGCTCCATTGCAGGGGTGCTATTCAATGTGGCCCACACAATGACCCAGGGTTGGTGGTTAATTTGGTAGGGCAGGGTCTTTCACTCAGTGGGCAAAGTTGAGGATTTGATTTGTTGTTTTTTAGTTTGTTTATTTAATTGTTGAATAAAATGAATAAAATGTCACATAAAAGAAATATTATTTCCTATATGAAATTATTATGTGTTAAAAAATTAATTTCATTATGTTTGATAATTTTTTGGTGAAAAGGCAATTTGGGACACGTTATTTTTTAAAATGTGTTAATTTTTGTTTAAAATGTCAGTTAAAGTGTGTTTGTATAATTAATAAAAGACAGATGAATAATTATTTTTTTCATAATTTTAGTTACACATTGTGTATTTCATAAAAGGTACTTATATAATTTATTAATGTAATATTTTATTTAATAGTACATGGTTATAAAATTTTATAACTTACCTTTGTAAACTTTTGACCGGTCAGTTATTCCCGGACAGGACCGGACACTTGCCACACTTTCCACTGATATTGCCTTATCCTGGACGGTTCTGTCTGCTGTTGGAACTTTCTTTGTTAGCACATTGTTCACCTCCACCACATCCAGAATGACGTTAGACAGTTTGTGATTGAGGCTTCTGCTCATGCTGCGTTGATGTTTCAGCTTCGTCTCCATGTACATCATTGTCCGGAATATACTGGAGAAGTTGGACTTGTACGCATGGAGCAGTTCTATGGCATGTTTTAACATGTGTTCGTGTCGGGAGAGGGTTGAATTTAATTCTCGATTTTTCACCATCTCATCAAAAAGCCTTGTCTCCATGTCACGCATTTTCGATGACAGATTGTCGATATTCTTTCCACCCTGTGATACCCTCGGCATTTGTCCGTTATGTGAAGCAGGGTAAGAATCTGCCTGATAGGCTTGGTTACCCAGAGCAGGGCACTTGGAAGTGTCAAACTCATTAACCACAAAGACATATTCACAATTAGGGGTCTTTGTGGATGCTCGCTGTTGCCTTGTTGCCATGCCGTTGGACTTCAGTATCAACACTGTCATCAGCATCACCACCCCGGAGTGAACACCGCTGACACCTGGCTTCATCGTGAGTTCCCTGTGGTTCACCTGTCGTTATCTCACCTGGAGTTGGCTCCTGGTTCCCCCTCAGCTCTTCTCCCCCTCCCGACTCTCACTCACCCTAGCTGTACGGCAGTCAGAGGCGAACTGCTGAGTATGCAAGCTGGCTCAGCTCTATATACCAACACAGAAAAATTCAGCCTGAATTGCAAAACCTGCTGCTGCTTTTAATTGAGAGTAAAACTCGGGCTGGAAAGTGTTAGTTCTGACAGCTGTTTTACCCTAGCAACTGGACACCCTTAAAATTCCCAACATTTTTTTTACACCACTTTTTCCTAATTTAAGAAGGTGTTAACATCACTTAGAGTCATTTTCTCCCTGGGGGTGGGATCAGGTAACAGGTGAACACTCAACTCACGACTGTTTACTCTCTACAATCCTCCATCCATCTATATCTGTCCCTCCTTTTTTTCTTTCGGTCTATCCCAGCTGGTGCTTGTCACGACTCCACATCTTGGAGGGATTGAATGGAGGCCCTGTCATGGGTGGACCTTGCCAAGGCTTTCATTCATGAATGACCGAGTGTACATTGACGTGGCCAATCAAAATGCTTACATAGCGTCTTAGCCACGTCTGTTGCTTGTCTGTTGCCGACCTTCATGGTGTACATCAAGGGGATTGGGTGTATTAAAGCCAGACTGGTTAGTCGTGACATTTCTTGGTTGGCTGAATCAGCCGGTGCTTTCTGTAGCCTGTATCTGTCTGTGTTACAGTAAAGATCTTATCTACATCTCTTTAAGCTCAATTTCAGCAATAGACCCTGTGACTTGAGACTATAAAACGTGCATATGTTTTTTATACTATTTGATATCTGTGATATTTTGTGTCAACTAATGAATAGTATTTCATTGGATCTCAGTAACTTTGAAGTCCAGTTCTGACGTCTGAACGATATATGTATTTTATGGGATAACTTATGAAACTTATTTATACAATTTGCAATTGCTCACACAAATCTAACCTTTTTTTACTCAAATTTGTTTTTTTGATTGTTCACATGTTCTGGTTCTATTACTGATTTTAAGGAAATTTTCTGTTTAGAATTTGCCAGCTAATTACATTTCTAAGATATTTAAGAAATAATTTTGTTTTCATGATTCAGTTCTTTCAAATGGTGAAAATATTCTTCTCACTTCCTAGTTACCAATCTAAATATTTTGTTCAGCTTATATTTTCTTGATATGTATAAATATGTGATATATTCAATTGTCATGATATGATATGACATGGTACGTTAGGAGTCTTTGATGGGTTAAGAAATGAGTAATGTAATGTAGAAATGTTGTATAGATTGCTTACAGTATTTGTCATTACATAAGTGAAATGTCAGATATTCCTGGAGCCTGGATAGCATGGAGGGCAGCGGGATACAGGCGAGTGGCATGTGCACATTCCAGTGACGTGTGCAGCTGTCGTGAGGGGTGCTGTTGGAGGCGCTGTGAATGAGTTGCTTACTCAGGATTTGCATCACGTTGTTTGTGGGCAGACGGGTTTTACATCACAGTATGAGAGATCACAGCAACCTGTGTGTGTGTGTGTGGTGTGGTGTGGTGTGGTGTGGTGTGGTGTGGTGTGGTGTGGTGTGGTGTGGTGTGGTGTGGTGTGGTGTGGTGTGGTGTGGTGTGGTGTGGTGTGGTGTGGTGTGGTGTGGTGTACTAGTCTGGATTAATGCCAATTTTATTGTGCCAGCCCACTGAGATACCATGCCGCAGTTTAACAAGAATATCCCACTCAGACACAGTATACTGACTCTGAGCTGACCAGTCCTTATGTAGCCCCTTAATGCCAAGCGCCAGGCAGGGTAACAACAAGTACCACTTTTAACGTCCTTTGGTTTGCAGGGCCGGAGATCAAACCCTGGACCTTACGCTATCCGGGCGGATGCTCTACCACTAGACCATGGCAACGGTCTCATTATTTGGGCACAGTCTCACTTTCAGGCCTTGAGTTCCATCAAAATTGGTAATTCAAATGCTCTGTGATTTTGATACTCTCAATTCAGGTCCAGTTTAAGTTCATCAGGGCAACCGAAAGTGTTTCTGATGACTTGTGGCAGATGAATCTGTAGTGTTAATGTGTAAGGCTGCCTGGTATTAGTAGAATTGTATTGACTCTGTTAAGCCAAAGTTAAGGTAGGATACTTGTTAGGAATTTGAAACACAACAGGGAATGTAATTAAGGATTTTTCTAAGCTGAAATGGTAATCATATTATTTCTGTCTTTATCATTAGAGGTGCAAGAATTTGAAAAAAATGGTTGCCCTTTAATCTTTTTTTGCATATTTGTCTTTACAACCATCACCAATAATCCTTTGAGCTGTATTGTAGCCATATGTTTGCATTGGCTCAAGGTGGTGGAGTATATAGAAAATTATTGTGTGGTGTTGCAAGATGAGTATTCTTCTCAGGGAGTTCAATGTTTGTTCTGGCTTAGGCTGCAACAATGAGCTGTTTCATGTAGTAATTATTTATTTGTGTTGATTATTGAGCAAGATGAAGAGATAGATGTTGTATTATAGAAATGGCAATTACAGTTGGAATCGTCATGGGAAAAACAAGATGGTGGCACTACATATGTTCAACACTTAGTATGAGATATCATGTCATAAAACACATTGAGATGCCATGTTTGCCAGGCCTGTATGGGATAGTATTCAACGTTGTGTGTTTCTCGTCTGACGTTTCATGGATCACTGAGAGGAACTAATCTATCACTGTGTGGTGCAGTGATAAAACAAATGTGCTCTGTGTTCTGGTTATGGCGGTTGCTTTATAATGCTTTCCCATCTGAAAACTCATTCTACATATACTTGGGAACTTGGTTATTTTGTTACATTTATTTCACTGTATGTTAGTTTGTTATTGTTTAACGCCGCTCTCCGCAATATTCCAGCTGTATGTCGGCGGTCTGTAAATAATTGAGTCTGGACCAGACAATCCAGTTATTAACATCATGAGCATCGCTCTACATAACTGAAATATGATTGATGTTGGTACCCTCACACAAGATGCAACATGTTTGAATGAGATTAAGGATATTGGTGGAAGTAAAATATGTGGAAGCACTGATTTTAGTGAGTGAGTGAGTGAGTGATAATTTATTTTCACCAGTCAGAAATATTCCCCCTATGTCATGGTAAAGCCAGTGGTTGATAGCATGAGCAACAATCAACACAGTCTACTGGTAAGCCAGGCTAAGTTGAGGCGTGACCTGACAATTAACCCTGTATGACAGTATGAGGTCCACCCACTGGTATGTACCATTGTGTAGAAAGGGGTAGCGGGTGGTCTGGAACAAGTAGTACAAAGGATATGTGCCTGTCCTGTCTCAGCTAAAAACAAGTTCTTATGGTGAGTTCAATAGCACATCACAGTACGATGCAGCAAATTTGCATAGATAACAACAATTAAGTATTATATTGTGACAATGAAGGGAAGTCATTTGCTGTAAATATGGAATACATTTCTGCCCCGAGAGCAATAAAGAATAGTGTCATGTCATTCATCAAATGATTATGAAGGTTGAGCCCTTAGCATAGTGATATAATAGTTGATTGAATGACATATTCCTTAATTAATCCTGTGTGAATGTTTATAGGGTGTCAGCATTCTTTTAACATCATATTGATGATATATATTGATGCACTTAAGCATAGATAGAGACAGACCAGTGGCAATTCTAGCTATTGACAATGTTTGAGATTTATTTGTATATTATTTCTCCATGTAATTTATGTATTTATTGGCCAATTCTTGAGCCTGAGAATGAATTTGAGATTTGGCCATGCTTACCTTGCTCTGACATGTTTATTTGTTTTTGATTAACTTCTATCAAACAACATTTAGAAAATTCTACTTGTCACACGACCTCTTAATATTGTTATGAGCAGCACGTGTGTCCCCGGGAACGTTGTCAATTGCATTGTCATGACCTGAACGTGCAAAACAAAACAAATATGTTTGTCCAACTGCACAGCCTACTAAAATGTCTCAAGCACGTTTTGTGAGTTGGCTCACCTTATCCTGAATGACCATTAGGAGCTCGATGAGTTGGCTACATCACCTGACCTTCATCATCATTGTCTTCATCCCTCATAACCAATGGCCATCTGTTGAAACTGTACAACCCTGACACCCACCTGTGACACTGCACTGCCACACCTCAGCCTGGTCACTTTACAGAACAATACCTTGGTGATAATACTCTCTTATGGCGAGCCGGGGCATGGCTTGACACAATTTGCTGTGTCCAGTAGTGTATCTTTGGTGTACCGATTTGTGCATCTTTGGTGTACCAAGTTGTGTACCTTTGGCATACCGAGTTGTGTACCTTCGGTGTACCTTATGTGTACCGAGTTGTGCATCTTGGTGTACCAAGTTTTGCATCTTGGTGTACCGAGTTGTACATCTTGGTGTACCGAGTTGTGTATCTTTGGCATACCGAGTTGTGTATTTTTGGCATACCGAGTTGTGTACCTTCGGCATACCGAGTTGTGTACCTTCGGCATACCGAGTTGTGTACCTTCGGCATACCTGGTTGTGTACCTTTGGCATACCGAGTTGTGTATCCTTGGTTTCTGAGTTGTGCATTTGGGGTACAGAGTTGTCAGAATCCTATGATAGTGGGTTTGAATCCAGATTCACCCAGATCATGATTCTATGTTTGTAAGCACCTGACCCTGCCTCATGTGCATCATAGTAAGACCTGCATCACTTCAGGCTTCCCCCATTCAGCTGTCAGACTAGGAGCAACTGATAGAGCGATAAAACCCAGCTCACTCACTCACTCACCCTCATGTCAAGCATGGCGATGTTGGCACTTTTCATGCTCCAAAATCCCAATAAAGGTCTTGACATATTGCCGCCTGACATTATTGAGTGTAATACTGACCACATATGCCATATAGACAATATAGTGTATTTTGCAGTGCCTGTTCTTGATCAGATGAGATATAACACAGGCATACATTAGTCTTTCAAACAGACCATAACAAAAAAATCTGAAAGTCCCAAGCAATATACGATACTTGGGCCAGTCTAGATTTCTTCAGTTTCTTCTTTGGGCTCATGTCTATTATCTACTAAAAGATAATTTAACAAAACAAATCTTAAGATATTTCATTTTTTAGACTAAATGTCAGTCTAGGTATGGTATAACTGGAATATGGGGTGAGAGTCTAGCAGTATTACTCCCCTTGTAGGTGTGGCCATATCAATGTTTAACACCAGGAAACTAGGTTAGAGGTATTGTGTTCTGTTAACAGACGTTATGTATGTGTTGAACTTTTTTTTCTTAAGTTGGTAGTCCGTTGTTTACTATTCCTGGGGGACATTGAAGGAAGTCTCCGACTTACACAAAGTTAATTTGTAAAGTTAATTTCATGGATTTTTTAATAATTGTTGAATTTATATACAAAATTGTCATACCTGAAAAGTAATAATTTTTATTCTTCATTTTATGCCCCTGGCTGCTAGTGGGACATTTATTTCCCTCCTCTTCAACCCTCACTCTGAAGTAAAAAAAATTAAACATACATCACGCACACGA